AACCAATGAAATTTTATATAAAATATTATTTGATTATAAACTTTTAGATAAAAAATTAAATTTGGTTGGGCACCTTAGCAAAATAGGCACAGGGTTCCAGGGCCCACTCAGAAATCAGTCCTGGCCTTAGTATGTCATTATTGTTATATTACATTCATGGGGGAGGCGAGTGCTAAACACGGTGATCTCGTACAGTCCATGGGGATGAATGGGAGTCAGTCAGGTTTGATCAAAGGAAGGAAGAGGTAGATCCAACTCCATGGATTAAGAGCCCCCACACTGGNACACCAAAACAATGTCACTTGAGGAAGGCCCAGGCCCTTAGCCCTTCAGATATTTTTGTGATAAATTTAAAAAGGATTCTTTTTAGTTCGGGGTTTCCCAAAATCCTAGTTCATTATTTTTGACAGATACTCTTAATATCTTTTTAGGGGTGAACTTTTAGGGAAAAGAAGCATTAAAATTTTTTCAGAATTTTTTGTTGGGTTCCTGGAAGAGAGCATTGGTTTTTTTTTCGTCAGATTTGGAGCCTTGTTTATCTTAGCTTCAGTCATTTGTTGTGGGGGTGGTATTCAGTGGAGGGACCAAAGAGATCAAAAATCACTCTGAAATTTTTGAGGGCGAAGGGGGGAGGGTTAGATTTTAATGTAATGTTGTTTATTTTATTCATAAAAATAAATTTTTTTGTTATTAGTCCAAAATATTGAAATAACTTTTCCCTGAATTTTAAAAAGTTCTCAAAATAAAAATTTGTGTAGTGTTTTCATTTGACACTGTTATTTAGCCTGCGGGCAGTGGAGATGTCATGTCTGGAGCAATGTGTGGGGGAAAATAAAATGAGAGAATTCCGTATTTTGGGGAGTTAGGACGAGGTGCAGGATTCCCCAAAACTACTACCAGAGGGTGAGGGGGGTTATTAAGATGGTTTTTGGACATGTAGAGAGGTTAACAAAAAAGAAAAGCTTCGGGAGTTAAAAATTTGGAGAGGAGGGAAGGGCAGTGGGGGTCGGCCCCCCGGGAAAAGGGGAGGGAGGGGTTTAAAGGAGGGTTTTTTGTGTGGGGGGGCTTGGGAACTTCCAGAAAGCATGCTGAGGTGTTAGATTCAGGGAAACCGCGGGGCCGGACTTGTTCCTGGAGGGGGGAAAGTGCGGCCCCGGGGCACTCTAAAGGGGGGGTGTTAATGTTGAGTTTTTTAGTGTAGTGTCGCAGCCTTTGGCAAGCTTGGAGTGATGATGATGAGGTTTTTCTTTTTGGGGGACCCTGCCCCGGTGGGAACGGCCAGGGGTGTTAAAAAAAATAAAAAGTAATAATTAGGTTAAGCATTTTTCAACACACTGGCCCTCTCCTACCAAGGTAGGGTGAGCTGAGAGAAGAAATGCTTTTAAAATGTTATTTATCTTTTTATATTTAAAATTTAACAAGAAAGGGGTTACTAGCTCCTTCCTCCTGACATTTTAGCCGCCTCTTACGATATGCATGGCTTATGGGAAGGATTCTTCTCCACTTTCCCTGGGTATAAGAAAAAAATAAGAACAAGAGCTATTTAAAAAAAATAGAAGGAAACTGTGGGTGTGTATCATGCGTATCCTTGTAGTGTGAAAAGTTAACAGAAGTAGCAAAATGACCTGGTTAAGATACAGTATGTTATGAAAAAATAAAAAATCACAAATTTAAAGTCTGAAAAATATTTTAGCTCTTTTCATCATGACAAGGCTTACTTTAAAAAATCATTACAGTTTATTGCAATGCTTTAAACCCTTGAACTTATTGCAGAAAATTGTAATTATGCCAAACATTTTAACCATTACAATCATGTAGGGCAACATTCCTTTATAATTAATAGTCGTACAGTCGGCAACACATTAATTGCTAAACTTAATATATTTTTTTCGTCCCCAAACCGGGGTTGTGTTAGTCCTGTCTAGAAGTCGATAAAAGTTCAAACCGGGTCTAGTGGAGCAGAATCTGGGTAACTTTCACCCCGTCCTTCATTATAAATATTATTCTCCCGACCACCCAAAAATTTTGGAATCGCCAATGGACAGCAAGAGTCTTATTTCTGGTTAGTATTTTTTCTATGCATAATTGAGTTATGTCTTATTCTAATTTTATGTGGATGATACTGTAAATGACTATAAAATTGCGAACAACTTTCTTGTTTAAAATTTGCACCCAAATTTTTAGAGTTTAGTTTTTTTTACCTTTTTGGGAAAAAGGGGTTACACCATGGAAAATTTTGTGGCTGTTTTTACAAAGTATAATATATACGTATACTTATATAAGTAACAGGGGTTTGGGGGATTGATAGGGACACATCTCTTCAACGATTTAAAAAAGTATCTTCTCTATAATGTTTAGTCACTCCCACTGCAGGGCCATCTCCTCTTGAAGTTGTTCAGCCAGCCAACCCCTTTGGAAACCAGTTTTTCCTCGCTTTCAGGCGACATGCTTGTGGCCAGACTGGCAGTTATGGCAACAATATAATGACTTCAACCCCCCCTTCCTTCCCTGAAAGTTGTTTATGGGTAATGAAAGGGACAGGAGTCTTGTGGCAGCCTTAGATATGAGTTCTGCTTTACAAGGAACTATGGTATCTTTAGGCTTTGATTTTAAGTTCACACCTTCCTGTCTCTTAGTCTGGTTGGCAAGGAGAAAGGAGGGTTGTGTGAGTTCATGACACCTTACATTACAGTCAGGTACTTCCTCCTTACAGACTGTGGCTGTCTAGGCAAGCTTTGTGCCTCCTCCTGTATTGTCTTTGACTGTTCTTTTTGTTGAAGATTGAATCTGTGAGCTTCTCAGAAACTTTGTTATTCTTCTGGGTGATCTCAACACCCATCAAGCTTTGTAATATGAAGGTTGCTCTGTGCTAGACAGGAGAGGATATTGATCCATTTAGATGTTACAATCAAGTGTGATAGATCTCCAATGTCATTATGTTCATATCTGTGCTTAAATGACCATAGACAGCTCTGTATGTTCCGGCTGCTAGCATTTGGACTTTAGGTGGTCTCTTCTAGATTTTTATGGTGACAATCATTTCCTTTGCTTGTTGGAGCCTACAGGGCTCTTTTACTTTTCACTGTTCCCAATTTGCCCTTCTTGGTGCAAAAGTAATAAAATCAGTGGAAAGTAGAGGTGACAGACTTTTGTACCAATAATCACTTGTGTCCTCAGAAATTGTCAGCAAGTACAGGGGGCTCATGATCATTGTCCTGTACGTGACAGAAGGTGGCATTCCGTGGCTTCATGTGTCTCGTTTGCAAGTGCTATACTGATTTAACTAGAACTGAGCAGCACTTGTGGATTATATGCTCAAGCCTGTTACTGCCTTTGGGATTATTACTCCCTGGTAAATCTTCTTCTTTCTTTCAACACACCGGCCGTATCCCACCGAGGCAGGGTGGCCCAAAAGAAAAAACCAAAGTTTCTCCTTTCAAATTTAGTAATATATACAGGAGAAGGGGTTACTAGCCCCTTGCTTCCAGCATTTTAGTCGCCTCTTACAACACGCATGGCTTACGGAGGAAGAATTCTGTTCCACTTCCCCATGGAGATGAGAGGAAATAAACAAGAACAAGAACTAGAAAGAAAATAGAAGAAAACCCAGAGGGGTATGTATATATACGCTTGTACATGTATGTGTAGTGTGACCTGAGTGTAAGTAGAAGTAGCAAGACGTACCTGAAATTTTGCATGTTCATGAGACAGAAAAAAGGACACCAGCAATCCTACCATCATGTAAAACAATTACAGGCTTTCGTGTTACACTCACTTGGCAGGACGGTAGTACCTCCCTGGGCGGTTGCTGTCTACCAACCTACTACCTAGGTCCCTGGTAAATATGTTACTTTATTAGTGTCGAAACCATTAAGAGGAAGGAGGATGTCCTTGGATTGCTATGTAGAAGGAATGAGCAACTTCCAAGGACAGATATGGAGTAACATTATGAAAATATCCAGAAATGCTCTTGAATCCACTCCCATGGGTAAGTGGATGATGACTTCTTGGTGGCATCTTATTGAATCAACCTTCATATATGTCATCTTTTAACATGAATGGTGGATGATGATGTCATCATAATAAACAAACTTCTTCCTGAGTCTTGAGTATGTGAAGCAAGTGTTTCCAAGAATAGAGTATCAGACATGTCCCACTGTCTGCAGTATTACTACACTCAATAATTCCTTAATAACAGACATTATACAATTATTTAATAACAGGCAATCACAAACTGATAATAATTAATTCCATAATGTAGATGCTGTTCATTCAGCCTCATCTGTTGCTAGTTAATCATAAAACCTTTACTCAAACAAAGGGCACTTGGTTTTTATTGTTGTTCCAAGAGCCTGGGAACAACAAGTGAAACTATAATTATAGAATAATGTTTAATCAGAAGTATAATTCTACACCACTTCTGAGGGTCTAAATAACCCACACAATAATACAGCTATGTGCTAGTGAATGTTAAAAACCATTAAGAGATTGTCAGGTGTAGAGTTGAAAAAATAAGTAGTTGGATAATGTTTATATGTTTATGTGGTTTGCAAAAACATATTGAGGAATCTTTTTATGCAAAAGTGAGTGATGATGACCAGGAAAGCATCTACTACATTAAGTAGGGATACCCTTCTATTATTCACAAAAAATCACAGCCTTTCCCAGGCATAAATTAATTTTCATAATATAACACACACTCTTTGGGCAGGTTTAAGGGCCTAGTGAGGTCTGCAACTGGAAAAGAAATTAAAAGGCATACTGTATTGTATTATCTTTCTGGGGATTTTTCACACAGCTACTCAAATAAATCTCTAACAATAATAATGCAGGATGAGCTATATTTTTGGTTACTATCCATGCATATTGTACCTTTGTTATTTGATAATTGGAGGCAAGTTTAATAATTAATGATTTCATGTTTCTAGTATATTTTGTAATCTTCTACTTAAATTTTTAATGCATACTAGTATGATTTGTGTATTAGGCTGTCTAGTGTTAATTGGGTGTGTAATTTTTCATAAGTGCATGGAAAGTTGAATTACAGATCACTTATTTTAAGCACTTGTTACAATTATTTACCAGTAATACAATTTTAGGAAAGTATTATATGCAAGTCATTTTTAAAATCATTTACTGTATTACAATTTTGCAAGTGTTATTACATACATAGTGTATGTGAACATTATTCAGTTTTAATTTTGTACAAAAAAGTCTAGTAAGTATTTTGTTACTAAAATCACTCTTTTTTGCTATTCTATTTAGTGTTCCATCTTCATAAATCTGGCATACTGGATTTGTACAGCTCTTCCAAATACTGTACTATATCGATTTTAAAATGTCAAAAGTATTTTTAACATATCATTCTGCAGATGCTGCAGCAATGTCTGTTCCAAGAGGACCTCCACTCACTATCACCTTAGTGAAAGATGGTGCCGGTCTTGGCTTCTCACTGGAAGGTGGCAAGGATTCTCCACTTGGTGATCGTCCACTGACAGTCAAAAAGATATTTAGTGGTAAGATTATGGCACTTGTACAGTACAGTAAGGCCCCACTTATAAGACAGGTTAGGTTCCAGGCTATCACTGTAAAGTGGAAATTGCCACCAAGTGGAATGCCCCTTTTTTCCATTGATAAATGCATATAAATGCAAGATTACACTAACATATACAAGTTTACACTAACATATTATGTTAGCAATAGAACTAGGCATTAAAAAACAGTAAAGTAAAATACATATAGTACACTCATTATTTACCTTAAAATATGTGTAGTCTTAATGTAGGGTGAAAGGTGAACATTTATTGTAGAAAGTCAAGTGTGGTAGCTCCCTCACCAGCTACTACACCTACACGAAATATAAGACTTAAATTTAAAGAGCTGGAACAAGTGTAGAAGCCTTCAAGAGGAAACTAGACAAGTATCTTCACCAGGTGCCAGATCAACCAGGCTGTGATGGATATGTGGGGCAGCGGGCCTCCAGCAGCAACAGCCTGGTTGACCAGGCAAGCACCAGACGAGCCTGGCCCATAGCCGGGCCCAGAGAGTAGATAAACTCTCGAAACTCTTCAAAGGTATTAGTATTATTGACATACAGGACCTTGTTCACTGAGTTTAATCATTTCTAACCACTAAACTTAGATACCATCATAAACAACAGACGCCGAGAAGGTAAACAAACACGAATACCTATTAACACCTGGACACTTATGGTTCATATATGTTTATTCCCACATACATTTGTGAAGCTTTTACCATAATACAAACACCTTACATTGTGTACAAGTTGTCTTCACATTGGTGCAGTAGAATAAATAACAGCAACACTCCCATACTCATGCAACACACCATTTTTAGAGCAAATAATGCCACTAGTGAAGGCATACAAAAGGAATAATTTTCTAGAGTTACCCCCAGTAATACTATTAGTGGCCCTTGGCCTGGTGGCAAAACTCTCACTTCACACTCTGAGGGTCCAGGTTCGATTCTCAGCAAGGGTAGAAACATTGGGCATGTTTCCTTACACCGGTTGTCTATGTTCACCCATCAGTAAAATGGGTACCTGGGTGTTAGTCGGCTGTTGTAGGTCACATCCTGGGACAAAACTATTATTTGCCTGAAATGCTCTGCATAACAAGCGACTTTCTATATAGTAGTGTGTCATTGATGTCAGCTAGGCCTGTATACAATGAACACATACTTGTAGAAATGAAGATATTATTATTATTATTATTGTTATTGTATACACATTTTCTCTGAAGTTGTACTAGAGAAAACTGAATTCTTGCCATCACTCCAAGCCACCCAGCTACTACATCTCATATTTGTCAATTTTTTCTACTGTGGGTGTATGTATTATATGTTATGTAATGTGATTCTTATATAATTGTGAAAAAAATATCATAGATGGAGTAATGACAATGTCTATGTTAAAGTGCCCCATAGCGATTAATAATATGGCATCTTCCAGACAAGTGACACACTGTGATTTTTAATGTGTACCTGCATGCCAGCACAGCATGTAAGTTTATTTAGGTATAGGTACACAAGTATAATTATCAGTCATAATATGAAATATCTGTATTAGCAAAATGCTGTAAAGCAGGACTCTACTGTATTTTTTTTTTTAACACACTAGATATCTCTCGCCAAAATAGACCCCCCCCCCCCCCAAAAAAAAAAAAAAAAAAAAAAACATTCAACATCACTGGTACCACAATTCAAATGATCGTTTGAACTGCAGCATCCTCACCTCTCCTTCAGGACTCTAATCAGGCTCACCGGCTTCCCTGAATCCCTTCATTAAATGTGTTACCTTGCTCACACCCCAATGTCAAGCCATGAAAATCACTTGTCTGAACTTGCTTCAGTCTAGCACACAAAATTATACACTCTTGTGGTCATCCTGTTCTGTTCCATCTCTGAAAGTCTAATGTCTTAATAGGCTGAATTTACTAAAAGTTTTGGCTCATTTTTCTCAGCCTGAGGCTTATTGAAATTCAAACTATTGTATTTAGGTATATTCCTCAAGATTTAAAACTGCTATTTCTGGACTTGTCATTCATCATCAGGGATTAAATTTGTCTTGGTGTCTTCTAGGCATTTCTAGTTGAAAGCTTGTATACAAAATCAAATCTAATATCTCTGCATTATGAGATAGGCTAAGATAGTTTACTTTTTTTTCTTTGCTTTTATATAGCCATCATGATTCTATGTTGTATTACTTATCATAAGGTAACTTGGCTGTTGTGCTATGGTATTCAGTTAGCCAAACTAATAACTACAGCCATATAAATAAAAGCAACTAAACAAAAGGACAGGACTTTAACTCTTGTGATGCCTGCCATATCTGTTCGCCTCTGGAAAGACAGGGATAGTGTGAATGATGGTGAAAGTGTTTTTTTCGGGTCACCCTGCCATGGTGCGAGACAGCCAGCATGTTAAAAAAAAAAAATTAATAGTTCTGAGAGCAAATGCACTATTCACGAACAGTACTTAGTTTACATTTTCATTTAGATAAAATTCCACCATATAGTAATTAAACAACAGCATCTTGTTTGTTTGGTAGCAGCTAACAATTAATGTACACAAGTAGTGTATACATATTATCTTTGTGTAGCACTAATCCTCTGTGGGTCACTCAGTACAAGACTGCTGGAGGCTTGATCCTCTGTCTGATAACTGTGAGACAAAGTGCTCTTTAAGTAAGGCTTTAATATTGATAAGTATTTGCTTTGGATATTCTTGACCTTGATATATTGAAACCTACTGTTACTCTTATACATTACAGTACTGTATTAGTAAGAATTCAATGTTTGTATTTTTTGCAGGTGGTGCAGCTGATAAAGGTGGCATACTGAAGGTAGGGGATGAATTAGTGAGTGTGAATACAGTGGACATAACTGATATGGCTCGCATTGAAGCCTGGAACTTCTTGAAGAAACTCCCAGATGGTACAGTCTCTCTTGTATTAAGACAAAAGGTAGACGATTTATCAGCCAAGAGTGAGGAATGAACACAGAAATGACAGTTTATTAGGTGAATTTTATTGATAAATATTTACTGGTGAAACAGATGCATTCAGTTGCCAGGTTTGTGCTTTTGTATATGTAATAGTTATGTTATTTGCTCTGGAGGCCTTCAGTAGGAACAGTGTAGGATTTCTTATAATGACCGGTTTCCTTGGCCACAATCACACATTTCAACAAGCTATCTAAACAAACATGGAAAGAGTAATTGTGTTTAGGAGAGGAAGAAGAAATGCAAACAAGAAAGGCTAGATTACAGTGCTTTACAGCAGTATTTTCGAGACATTAAATGCCATGTAATATTACAAGAGTCAAAAAACTGTGAATTTCTTTGTGGATGATGTAAAATATAAAAAGAAAAAAAGATATGACAAATTTAGCAAATAGAGTAACAGATGGATGATGGAATTTAATGTTGCTAAAGGCCATATAATGGAAATGATAAAAAAGAATAATCAGACAAATAATACAGATCATGACAAAATTTTTACAGTATCATATAGAGAAAGGAATCTAGGAATTATTTCATTTGAGGAAGGAGCCTCTGTGTTGGTGAAGGGATCTTGATTTGAGGAAACATAACTACTCTTCCCTTCCTTGGATTAAACCTGATTGCTTCCCATTCTCCAAGTACTTTACGGGTTTAATATGTGAAAAAAACAGGAGTTAAAAAAAAAAAAAAGTCTCAGATCACATATATGAAATTGTGAGACAGGAATATGCTACATTGGCTATCAAGTAGCTTTCAAATATATGGCTGGAAATGCTAAAAATCTGTTTACTTAATATATTAAGATAAAATTGTAATATGTAGCTGCTATGTGGTATCCACACTAAAAAAAAAAAAGATCAGAGAAAAAGGCTTAAGAAAAGCTACTAATAGATCACATGATGAAAGGCTAAAAACACTGAAGCCCACAATGACTGATAAGAGGAAAAGGGAAGATATGATAGCATATAAGCTTGTAAAAGGATATGAAAGCATATAGAGATAAGAGGCCACAGATATTAAGAGAAAGTGAAGTCAGAGAGATACTGGGAGATTTTACTTTACAAATACAGTGGTAGAAGAATAGCATAAATAAGCTAAGAAAGAGAAACGTGCATACAGTTCTAGTCACACTGTGTCTTTCTTGCATACTTGTTGATGTTAATCAACATTTGTAACCTCAAAAGGAGGTGCTAGTAAGTGCTACAATATTAGAAATTTAAAATTACAGACATAATGAAGACTGGATACCATGAGCAGTAGCACTGCTCCTATAGCTATAAATTGGTACAGAAATTACTAGAAGCCACAAAGAGGCTTATGTTACTGGATACTTGAACTCAGGATTACCTCTTGCCTCTTCCTGATTTTGTATTTTGGTTTTAATTTTGCTTTCCTCCATACTCTTTCCTTGTTTGTTCTTGAATACTTTCTTGTAAATCTCTCTAAATGTTTAGATTATTATTATTATTACAATCAAGGGGGAAGCGCTAAACCCGGAGGATTATACAGCACCTGGGGGGGGGGGGGTGGAAGGCATTCAGGCTTAATTTGGGGAACTGGAGCACAGATCCAATTCCCTAAATCAAGAGCCCCTCACCAACATCAAGGAACCTTCCTTGAGGGGTTAAATGTTTAGAGCTTTACTGGTAGACCTCTTAAAAGTGTGACTGTGGCCAACAAACTGTCTTAAGATAATCATGCATTTTCTACCATGCTTTCAAAACTGTACAGTAAAATATAAACTGATACACAATTATCAAGCATCAGTCTTTCATGAGATCCACTTGACCTGGTACTGTACTGTACTATATGACCTTTGATTTCAGTTTTACACCATTTATTGAATGTTTCTAAGGCTTGAGACAAGTGAGCTCCAGGCTATCTTGTTTGATGAGATGGTGTTTAACCCAAATCCAGTGGATTTTTTTTGTACATAATACCATTATGATTATTATTATTATATTATTTGGGAAGGAAAATGCCAAACTCATTGGGGTTATAAAGTGCCTGAGGATATAGGATGTATATTTCATCATTCCAAATTATAATAGGTGCATTGGTTCAAGAACCCCTTACTGGCATCACAGAACTTCTTTTGAGGGGACTACATAATACCAACAGTACATTATTGGTACACTATGAACCAGATGTGTTGACTCTTGGGGCAGTATAGTGTGCATTACTAATATTAGAAGCTGTAATGTTTCCTTTGTGTAACAGTGCAAATTAAGAAATTAATTTTGCATTATGTTGCTATGCTGGGCTTTCAACATGTATGGAAATGTGCATGATAATGAATTTTACTGAAAGATAATGTTTCAAACTGTGGTAAGCAGTTTGTGTAGCTAGTAAGGTTCATGATGAAGACCCCATAATGGGTACTATATTCATGGATAGTACTCATAAGGGGGAATGGGGTTTCTTGATTCTGAAGAGGTTCTTGATCCAAGGAATTATAATTATCCTTCCCTTGGATTGAATCTGCCTTCCACTTGCCAGGTGTTGTATTATCCCTACAGGTTTAGCACTTCCCCTAAACATAATGCAGGTAATAATTGGGAATCGCTAAACCTTTACAGGATCATTCAGTGCTTGGCGAATAAGAAGTAATCATATTTGATCCTAAAAGGAGAGGATATCCATAGTGGGTACCATAAATATTCCAAATTATGAATAAACAAATGAATAGATGGTGATTTGAACTGTGGGTGAATGGACATAGTAGGTCTAATGCTGTAGCCGCTGCTATGAGTGTTTATTGATGGACAGTTGTTCAGTACAACTTGGGTTTATCTAAAATTATTTTTGCCAAAAAGACTGGATTTAGATCTTCTATATTTCTTTGTGAATCCATTCTGCCAGTTAGATTAAGATTTTGATGGCAGTCAGTTTGTCAGTGTAAGTGTTTCTGCTCTGGACTTGATTCCTATTAATTTTTTTTATTCGGTATCATCACAACTATGAGTAATCAACTTGATATATGTGTATTATTATTAGTCAAGTGCTAAACCCAAAAGGGTCATGGAGCACTGCTGATAAATGTGTAGTATTTCCCAGTGTTAAATGCTACTTCTTGTATGATGATATTACTTAAACTGAATCATAACTAGGTTACCATTGTGTTGATTCAAGGTTTTATTTATAATCAAATAGGATCCTTGAGTGATATTGTTATCTTTAAAGTGAAACATGCTGTTTGCTGTCACGTTTGTTCTATCATTGCTGTGATAGAATGAACTGGTGGAGGCTTGTAGCCAACAATGGCCTTGGGAGAGTGGTGCTAGGGGCTGTGGTGAGGTGATGGTGCAGTCATACCTGGGACTCTCACAACCCACGTGTACTTTTCACCTGGGAAAAAAAAAAAAAGTTGTGATAATGGAGTTTGTGAGTGGGGACCCTTGAAACTGGTGCCTACTATATCTGCCAACCCTCAACTGTGATAGGTGCATTTGTTTATGCAGATGGATGAAACTGATTTATAATATGTAATAAGATAAAGGAATGCAATATCTATATAGTTGCATACTTTTCTTGCATAAGAAAACCCATGTCCTCTGTATCTTTGAATGTCACCATGTTCTTTTCAACTGCTTAGTTTAATCTACATCTTAATCTTCTGTACTACAACTCAGACCTCTCTCATCGAGCTGCTCATACAGTACTTCACTTTACTCGAATATTTCATTAAATAACTGCTATTTGTTTACTGTATTTGGATGTATGTTATTTTATCATTCCAAATTATAATAGGTTTCATTTAAGATAATGTACTTGCAGCTTTTAGGTAGTAGATTTTTCCAATGCCAGTTTGCAAGCAGCATTAAAATCCTTATTCTATGTTAACATGGATTGTTGAACCTCATAGGCAAAATGTTTATGAAAGGTATATTTTGTTTTAGCAAAATATTTTCCTTCCTATGTGTCATGTTGTATACTGGTAAACTTGCAGCAGCTACACAGATGTATTGCAAGAATCAATGTATTTCAGCCAATTCTTTGTACTATATTGTAAATACTGTGTTTTTATTACATATCATAATTTTTTGTGAGAGAGATCTATATATATATAATTTTTTTAAGTTGTGCTTAACAAACATACCATTATATTTATATGGTTGCTAATTCTGCATTGCCCATTATGGACTTTAGGTACATCAGTATATCATAACATGCAGTGCCAGACAGTTCATTACTGATGTGACTGAGTCATGGTTTGCAAGCTACATGTGGCAATGCAGTGCAGCGAACTAGACATCCTGGTTTTCTTCCTGTTTTTGATAATTGTCTGTTTCATTGAACAAGCATACAGTACTTGTCACTAAAGTATGCTGGGTGGAGGCACCTGGTATGCTTTAGTGTTGAAATATACCCAACCCTGTTAAGATGTTTCAGTGCAATAGCAATTTATGCCAGTTCAACAACTTAAAGTGGGATGTCAGAGGATTTCCTAAGGCATGCTCAGTGCCTTTTAGGCTTGTGTGGTAGATGGATGTATATCTGGACTCCCTGCACCATATAGTCTTGAGCACCAAGTTTGTCAAGACATTTATGGCTATAGGCAAACTAATATGGGCAAGATTGTTGCTGACACAAGACACTTGCATAGATCATTGGATTATATAAGGCATGCCATCAGATGAAATAATAGAAGCTGTCAGCATATACGAGTGTTCAGTGAGGAAGTGATTGCTTTGACTCGGTGATGGCGATTCCGACGCTCATACCATGAGCTTATTAATCTTGTATCAAACTTATTCTTGCCAGCAAATTTCATTGATACCCAAAAAATTTTTGGCAAATTTTCCCACTCATGCCCAAAGTGGGGGAAAACCCAACATACCCATGTACATGGCATGCAGCCAGCGTCTTAGGAAATCTCGTATTTTCCCCACTTTTTTCCCGGTGGCATTAATTTTTGTTATGCTGAAATACTTTAGGTTTGGTTTTATTTTGATTTTAAAAGTATCCCGGGTAAGAATTAAAGTATTTTGCGAGGGAACGAAAGTGAGGGGGCGGGTGAACTTGGCTTGGCCCTCTAGTCTTTTAAATCTTACAGGTTTAATTGCTTTATGGGGCCGTAATTGGGATATTTTTTGTATCCATGTTTTTGCGCTTTTTTGTAAGAGTTTAAAAGCTGCATTTGTACATAATATCAGTCACAGCATATAATGAGCATAGTTCTTGGGCCCTCGTTTTTTAAGGGGAAAGGGGACCAAATAAAGCTGATAAAGAAATCCCTTTTATTAATCCCCAAAAAAAAAATACATGAAAAAAAATTGTAAAGGAAAACCCCTTATTGAAAAAAGCTCACTCATGAGGGTATTGTACTAATAAAGGTTTTCAAAAAATACCTAGTTTTTTTCACCACACCCCCAAAAGATTTAAAAACTGTATTAAACCACGGAAATTGAGTGACAACTTTTCTAGCTGAAAGGTCCGGATTAGCCCTTTTTTAGCATACGAGGCATATCAAAGTTGCTAGATTTGAAAAGGGGAAACACTAAGACTACTATTGTATTTACCCTATTTTTTTCCCTATATCAACTTTTCCCCTCAAGGAAGGTTCCTTGATTTTGGGTGAGGGGCTCTTGATTTAGGGAATTGGTTGGCTCCAGTTCCCCGAATTTAAAGCCTGTCCCTTTTCCACACCCCCTTCCCCCCTTGATTATAATAATAATAAATAACATTTAAAAATTCCTAAAAAATTTTCCTCCATCCCCCTCTAACTTCTAACCCACTCTTTCCCCAGGCTTCCTCAGCTTAACCCGAAAATGGAAATTATTAAAATAAAAAAGAAGCACTAAGCCTATACAGCTTAAAAGGGAGAAAATAAAGGTCGGGCACTTGCACAGAATGGTCTATGTTTGGACAGTTTAAGGGAAAATCTCGCCCAAAACCTTTATATTTTCAACAAAATTTGCTGAAAAAC